ACGATCCCCGGGCCGCTGCAAATGGAAAAGGTTAAACAAGTTAATTAACAGCAAATTAGCAGTCGAAATGCCTTTTTTCCCAACAATTCGCACCACTCGGGAAACCCTAATGACTTTTTCCAAAAACAAAAAAATACAGTGCGAAAAAATCAAAGTGCTAATGAGCCATTAGCATTACAATGGCGTCAACAGCGTCTGCCACACTCGCACAAACGCACACACATAAACAAGCGGCCACTTTTCTCGCCATGCAAACATGTGTAATGGTTGTCTGTGTGTGTCTGTGTGTGTCTGTATCTGTGTAAGTGTGTGCGAGTTGGTGTGCGTGCAAAGGGCGTATTCCCTTGGCTGCGTGTTAATGCGCTTTATAAATCAGTTGAGTTCGCAGCTTGGATCGAGGAAAAAACGGAACGCACGAAATACGAAATGGCCACGAAAAAATACAGGAAATAATGATAATTACCTTATAATTATTTGGGCCAGAATACCGCGGGCATGCAGAAATGTGCTAAGAGGAAATGTAAACAGATTAAAGCAGTTTGACAGTCACGGGCATAGAAATTAATTTTATAGCGCACATTTGGGGGCTATTAAATATGTACATTCTACAATTAGTTTCAATGGATGTCGAATTATTATTCATGGGCTTAAATGTGACAGTTATGGAAATGATGCCAAATTCCATGAAATAAGTAAATATTTTGAAAATTTTATGGAATTTAAATTGATGGTCTCAGGAAATAGGGTTACACAAATAATCGTTTTTGAAATTTATTAGCATTTCAATAGTATTTTACAGTTCATTTTTTCCAAAGGAAGCTATTAAATGAAATTTGCAGCTATGCTAATTACGGTAAATTAATAGCGCCATAAGCTAAGTTTTATAACGAGCATCAGTTCCATTACAGCTCGAATTAGAAATATGTGCAACTTGAAAATTAGTTAAAGCACTGGCAATCAAAATAAACTTGCTTCCATTATTCTAAGCACAGGGGAAAATATCCGAAGCTGATTGAATTCCCATACTGCCCAGCAGAACCCTTGAGAACATGATTTCACTTACCGCGCCGAAACATGTCCTGCATTATCCTTATGGAGGCACAGCCGTTTGTGCCATTGTTTTCAAGCGCTGCAATAAACATTATTCTGCACTCCTTAATAAATGCCAATCCATTAGGCCCGCCACACACAAAGGACAAAGCCAGGACCTCAGCCAAAACGGCACTGCAACAAAGAACCCTCGACGGCACTAAAAACGCCCCAACAGAGCGGAGTGGGCATACTGGCTACCCTGCTACCCTATAAGCAAGACGGTTGGCTATTGGAGCATTGTAATTATATTGCTGGACATCCAAGACATCCAAGGCATCCAAGGCATCCAGAAAGTGGCGCACTTACGGCTACAATGCCTTGGGTCGCTCATCAAAATTGCTTTTATGTGTGGCCCATGGCAGCGCACATAAAATTTATGCCTCGGGCTCCACGTCCACTGCTCCACCGCCCCCTTCCCCACCTTTCCCCCCCCCCCCCCCCCCCCCCCCTCTCTCTCTCCACCATCGCCAGATGTTTCGACTACGTTTGCATAGTTTATTTCGCAGGGGCACTTTATATACAGATAGGTTTATATAGAAGGGGCAATTGCTACGTGGACATGGGCGTGTGGGCGTTTGGGCGTGTGGGCGTGGCTGGCCACTGTACGTGCGGTCATTATTCTTTATTTGTTGCTGCTGCTTGCGCCATGCAGCTCGTATTATTGTAACGCCTTTTTGACACTACTAATTTTAGTTTTATTTTCTAGGCTTTTCGGAGTGGGCGTGTTCGAGCTTCTACTCCTTTGGTGGGCGGTTTGGGCAGGGTACATTAGCTGCACGGCGGCGTTTGGCCTTTGATTTTATTGCCACATGTCGGAATAAGAAAATAAAGAGCCAAGATTTACTCAGTGATTTATTAGCTTTGAGTTACATTACCTTTTACCAATTTTACTTACAATTATTTTATTGTCTGGCAACTCTATGGAAAAAGCCAAAAATTATTATAAAATCGAGTTAGGGCTGTGAAACTGCATCCGCAGGGCAAAGAATTTTCGCATTGGTTAAACCAAAAGTCTGTCATTTTATTAGTGTCCAAAACGCCCAAGGCTGCCGACTTTTGTTTATGGCCAACGGAATGGAAAGTTATTTACTTAGATGCGTTATTTTATGGCCAGCACATGTGCCAGGTCCTAGTGTAATTATGTGTTGATTTGCTTCCTCCGAATCGCCCAACAGCCGAGGGTAGTTGGTAGTTGGGCATTAAATTCTTAAATTCTGAGGCCCTACACCGAATTGCTGGAATATTTGTGTGTCATTTAGTGAATGGCAAAAGGCACGTAATCTCGGCAGCCGGGAATGCTGAGGGTTTTCACTCGCCGTCTGGGTAATCCACAAGGAATTTCACAGTTTTTCCAGCCCCCCTCCCCCTTCCCCCTTTCCCCTTCCCGCCGTGTTCTAGCTTTTTTGTGTGTGCTGGATTATTGTGTATTTTAATGCCACTAAAGCAACACGCGTCTCTCCACGCCATTGTTTTCTTTTTTCTGGATTTTTTCATTTGGTTTTTTTTGTAGTGCCTTAGATTTCCTTTTTGAATTTTTTCATTGTGGCTTCTGGCGCCGCTGTCGACGCATTTGCAGAATGTAGGTACCAAAAGGTAGACCAAGATAAGCCAGCAAAAAGCGGAGGGGTCTACAATAACAATGCGTATTGTGTATAGAAAATGACAGCGGCCCAAACAAATAAATTAAAATGCGCGACAGCGCACCAAACAAAGTTTTTCATACCCTCGAAGTGTCACTGGGATGTGGGGAGTATTGGTGTAAGGGTCCTTGCTTATCCTGAATAGTTTTGGTAGGGATATTGCTCTTCTTTATTTAATTAAAATACTAATATTTTTTATCTTAAAAAATGAATATTAAAATGTAATTTTTTGGTTCAATTTTTCGTCCTTGATATATTGAATCTTCTGTGACTCAAGAAGGATATCCTTTCGCTTAAATCTAGACTGGCGTTTAATACCCTTAGATTCCATTGGCGTTCGTGGCCATTTCATACCGCTGCTGCCCCCTGTGGCTGTGTCAATATTTGCCACAAATTGAAATTAGCAGCGCGTTAAGAGCACCTGTACTCCCGGTCCTTGGCTGCACGGCATTCCGCATCCTGTACACGGAGTTGCTGATGCCGGGCACATAATCCCCGTAAATTAATATGCCGCACATGTGTATGGACTCGGCGACTAACATGCCGCCCCTTTGGCATCCCACTTGTATTTGCAGCTGAAGGAGTACGAGCTGAGCGAGGTGTTCAACATTGCCGAGGACGATCGCAAGTACGAGACGGTCCAGACCCAGACCCACCTGGACGCGGAGCACAATCACGTGGAGATGAACAACGAGTTGTCCGCCAGCATCGAACGGGAGCGGCAAACGGAGCAGCAGCAGCTGCAGCAGAACGACGACGAGAGGCAGCGCATCCGGTCCCAGCTGTTGGCCAAAATGAATCCCATGTAAGTGCTCCAAATGCGCCATAAGCTATGCTAAGAGCTCTGAAAAATCAGAAAAAATCAAAGGGAAATGAAGAGCATGTTGTAGAAATGTAATTTAGCAAAGATAAACTTTTAATAGCGTAAATATCCCACAAAGTAACTCTAATAAAAGTCAACCAAATAAGCTCTGGTTGGGTTGCAAACTTTTTCAAATTGCATTCGCATTTTGCAACATTCTCGCTCTGCAGGCAACTCCGAGTCAAAAGGATTTCCAGTTTTACAGATTTTAATTGACAATTTACCAAATGTTAAGTAGAACTAAAATGTAAGCGCCGAGAGTATTTCTATACATTTAATTTGAATAAGCAGAATAAAATGTTACAGGTATACGTAGTGTTTCTGAAATGAATTGTTTTTTATAAGTATTTCTATGAAATGTCTCAAGTCTCTAGGTCGAATGATAAGCCTTTAAATAGGTAAAACAGAGTCATTGTGTGAAGCCCACTATAAACAAAACAGAATTGGTTATCTTATAATTACCGATTGACAAAAACAGATGATTAATAAATAGATACCGCCGAGTTTCGTGCTCAGTACGCTTGCCCAAAATGCAGAAGTCGTTGCCATTCGGCAGCTTTAACTGTTTCAGGCCAGGAGTAAGCCTTTAATGGCACGTTTCGTATACGTAATCTGTTTTGGAGTGCAGAAAGCGCTTCAATTGGCCCTATTTAACATATGCGTAGAGTGCTTTCCCCTAACTCAAGACCAACTACTTTCAACACTCTCTGCGTACATATGCATTCACATATTTAAAGCAACGTGCCAAGCCCCGAGCTGCTGGAAAAACAAGCGAGTGGGTGGCTGGCGGGGGAAGGAGGGCGAGGAAAGGCAAGGAAAACAGCTTTCTGGCACACTTCAAAGCACATTACACCACTTTGGAGGCGTCGGGTGTGTGGCCCAGTACTAAAGACCAAAAGAGCCGAGGGAGCGTCGCCCGAGTGGCACGTACCTGGGTAATGCTGCATCTTTAAAAAGCCGCCCAATTTCTGGGATCTCCGACTCCCCAAACTCCGGACGGAGAGAAACTACAACTAATCCCTGCTAACAGTTCCAGTCTCATCCGCATCCACATCCACATCCACATCCTCATCCCCTTCAGCGCCCGCTGTCTATTTTCGTGCCACTTTCGGCCAAAGCTGCTGGAGTGGATTTTGGCACCATTGGCACTGGTAACCTGCATATTTAATGGCAATCCCCACCAGCCCGGGACGTGTTCGAGTGCCAAGAGCCAGCGAGTGGGCGTAGTCGACTGGCCCTACTTTCCTGGCACTCTGACAGGGCTGGAAACAAAGGCCGGAGACCCCGGCGGATATCAGTTGGGTCTGCCAAATGTGCGGAATATTCGGACCAGTTTCCAAGTAATTACTATCTTATCGAATGCCATGTCGCGGGTGGCCTATAAAAGTAGAGGAATTGCCGGCAATCGAGCAAAGAGTTAAGTGCCAGCAACATGTCCGGAATCCCACCAGCCACCTTCACCGTAATCGCAGGTAGCGCCGCCCACAATCAGCGGCGGAAGAATCAGAATCGGGAATGTGGCCAGCGGAAGAATTCGACCAGTGAGCATGTGGAATTCGCAGACAAAGTGCGAGCAAACATAAACCTTAATAATTTCCAGAGACGGAACCACAGACGGCGGGGTCGAAGACAAATAGTTGCCACATTGCTTAGATATAGTAACTATCTTATCTGTGCAAGGATTTAACGCATGAAAATACATTTCCCATGACATAAACACCGAGTATAAATGGGCCGAACAAAGCATTTTGGGTTTCAGTTAATGGACACCACGACGACGGAGATTGGCAAAATGAAAACGACAATTGTGGAGGAGCGGAGTGTGAATGAAACGATAGAAACAATAGCCACCAGCAGTGGCTCCGTCCAGGAGACCATCGAGATCGTCAATATCGATGGATCTGCAGCGCCGAAGCAGCGTCACCATCATCACCATCACAGGCACCACCATCACCACGAAAGGCAGGAGAATGTGGAAGTTGTGGCGACAGAGGAAGTGATTCTTGTGGAGAACGAACCAAGATCCAGGAAGCACCACCACCACCACAAGCAGAGGACTTCTCCGCCACCGCCGCTGCCGCAAACCTCACCACCATTCCTCACGCCCACTGAAGAAGTGGGTTTCAATGTGGTGTGGGAACCCCAGGCCATTTGGAACCAGCCCTCACCCAATCCCTCTACTGATCTAGATCTCTCCCAGGAGAACGACGTTGTGGTTGCAGAGGAGACTATGGGTACAACTTCAGCTTCCGATGAATTCACCACCGTGGTTTGGGAATCGCAGACGAAGGAGTCTATCAGGGAAACCCAAAAGCACACAAGAGTGGTGGAGGAGGAGATTATAATTGATCAATTGAACCCACCACCCTACGCACCACCTCAGCTTCAAGTGCAGACAGGATTCCTTCCAGTGGCTCAGCAGCCTCCACTTTCGCCCATCGAAGAAGTGGTACAAACAGACGTGTTTGTGGCGTCGGTGGAGCCTCCACTGCCGCCCACAGGTTATATTCCCAGAGTCAATCTAAGGCCAACAGAGACTATTGTGGAGACTGTCGAGGTCATCGTTCCCGCACAGATTCAACAAGAGCCGGAGTTTGTTCCGCAGCCGGGATTTGTGGCCAGAATTGTGGAGAACATAGAAGTTGGTGCAGCATCTAATACCACACAGGCTCCAGCTCCGAGGAGTAATTATCGTCGGTCAGGCTTGGTTGAATCGCTTGTGGAAGATATCGAAGTGGTAAAATATGATGCACCTGTTCAGAGTGGCTACACTCCCGGAAATGCTGCAGTGGAATCGATTGTGGAAAACATAGAAGCTGACTCTCCATTCCTTCTGCCACCCAATGGTTTTGACACTGATGAGAACATTGAAGTCTCGACAGTTGTGGATGATTCTCCGTTTCTGCTGCCAGTTGATGGCTTTGACCCTGAGCCAGTCTGTGTGGAATCAATTGTTGAAAATATAGAAGTCACACCTTCTGAACCTGTGCCGCAAATATCCGTTGAAAGCGTTGTTCCTGCAGGCTTTGTGGAGTCTGTGGTAGAAAGCTTGCAAGTCACAGAAAACGAAGATCCCCCATTTCTACTGCCTGTAAACGACTTTGCACCCCAGGCAGGCAATGTGGAATCAATAATAGAAAACATAGAAGTAACTACGGAAGTGGTTCCCACCTTAAGACCACCAGTGCAAGTCGAAAGTCTACCACGATCTGGATTCGTGGAGTCCATTGTAGAAAGCATCGAAGTCACTCAAGAGGTAGATCCTCCAAAGCCGGCAGTTCCAAGTAATTGGGGCACTCAGAGCGGTCGAGTAGGTTCCTTGGTGGAAAACATAGAAGTCACCGAAATAGTGGACTCACCAGCTCTGGCTCCACCACAAACTGGATTTGTGGAGTCGGTAGTGGAACGCATAGAAGTCACTGAGGAGGTTGAACCACCAATGCGACCACCACTTCCACTTAGCTATCCGCCTCGTTCGGGATTCGTAGAATCGATCGTGGAGAATATAGAAGTCCAACAAGTTACTCCTCCCTATCAGCCGCCCCAGCAAATCGGCATTGTTCCTCAAACAGGTTTTGTAGAAGCTTCTGTAGAGGATATTGAAATCGAAGAATCTGCGCTGCCGCCAATACAGAATGGATATGCACCCCAAGGCGGAGTAGTTGAAACCATTGTCGAAGAGGTAGAAGTCGTACCCAATCCTCCACGGCAATCCATAGTGACAACTGATTTCATGCCCCGTGCAAGTTTGGTCCAAGAACTGGTCGTGGAGTCACTGGAGGTGACACCAACACCATCGCCGCCACCCGAACAGTTTCCTTTTATTTCCAGGGAGAGCCTAATCGTGGCTGATGATTATGTGGAGGTGGAAGAAGTCACCCCTTACAATACGGCACCACATAGTCCAATAGTGGAAGTGGAAAGATTGAGTGAAGCCGAGGCTTATGTAGAGATTATTGAAGTTACACCAGTTAATACTCCACCAAGTAGTCCACCACCTCAGAGGCCCATGGAAGTGGGCTTCCTGCCCAGACCCAGCTTAGCGGAAACGGCGGTGGTTGTGGAATCACTGGAGGTAACACCAACTCCCACACCGCCACCAAGCCCACCCATGAAACTCAAAATACCACCACCGAATCAGATAGCAACGGAGCTGATTGTGGAGTCAGTGGACGTCACACCAGTGCCAGCTCCACCTTACAAGCCGCCAGCGAAACCACTCAACAATTTCATTCTAACTGATCTGGTTATCGATGATCCTCCGTTCGTAGAAGTGGTGGAAAGGGAGGTGGTTGTGGAGTCCGCAAACAATGGCCAAGTAACTGAGGTTATCGAAGTCACGGAAGAGATTATACAACCCGACACACCCATCGGAACCGTTTTCGTGGGTGAGATATCCGAGCAGAACAGCGACAAGTTTGGCAAACGATATTCCGTAAGTGCGGCCCTGGCTGATGGACAGCAGCAGGGGCCAGGAAACCCGGAAACGAATCCGCCACCACCGATCCAAAAACGAGATAAACCCACCGAACCACCAAAGCGTAGATGTTGCCAGTGTAAATGCACCATTTCCTAAGTCAGAGGTCAGGGGCTTTCCCCAAGGCAAGTGAATCAGAACCCACACACACAAATCATATCATACCTTAGAAATCTTATCAATAACCGGGTGTTTTTCTTATCAGCCTGGGAATGTAAGCTCCACCTATCGCATATCTAATCAGGGAAAACAGAAGCCCCCCAAAAAATCACAGTAATTGATAGTTAATTACCGGCGCACACTCGAGGAAAAAGCGTAGATAAGTGCCAAACTCAAGAACCCAACGACCCGAAAGTGCTGGTCAGTCAGTCAGTAATTAGCCATCGGTCGAGATGCCACCCCCAGGACGCGGATACGGAGGACCACCTCCACGGGGTCCCGGAATCGCCTACGGACCACCGCCACCTCGAGTTAATGTCGGCATCAATATCGGCGGACCGCCGCGTCCTCCGCCCATCGGCGTGGGCATCGGCTTTGCTCCGCCACCAACTGTGATCGTCGGAGCACCGCCTCCACCACCCATGGTCGTGATGCCGCCGCCACGTCCCACCGTTGTGGTGGGTGGCCAGGCTCCGGTGGCCACTGTGTACGCCCAGCCCCAGGGAGAGGTCTTCTGCTGCACGATTCTCTGACGGAAAATAGGAAACGAACCACTGTGCTTCTACATAGAATTATTCACTACGTGTATACGCCTTAAATTAGTGAAATAAAATAGTTTACTCATATCAATTAAAGTTCGAAATGCCTTAAAAGACGTATTAATGCAATCAAAAATCGTTGTGAAGTGTGCTATTTTAATTTTTAAATTGTGAACCAATAAAGTATTAATAAAATGAATGCATACCATAATTGTATGTTACCACCGACTGCACAAATATAATTAACCGCTCCCCACTCGGCAAATTCAAATATTAAATAATCACATTGATGCATGACAAAGTTCAAACAATTGTCAGTTTAAATATGCAATTTGAGCAAACCAATTATGATATTAATATCAATTTGCCGTCGCTTTCCGATTGGGAAAACTAATCCACTTCGGTCCGGATAGCAATTTCCTCGTCACATGTCCGACGGCTGAGTCAAAGTCAGTTTATCGAGCTCCGGAAATGCAAATTGCGCCTCAAACAACATTTACTTAATACATTTTGATGTGCTCATCTAACGGTAATTGCCGTGAACATGATCGAAGCAAATTGTCGCTAATAAGTTCCATGTTCCCAGCAAGAAAAGTCGGCAGAAACTTGGGGCCAAGCCGGCGGAGAAAAGGGAATTTGAGTATGGAAAATGCTGTATGTAATTTCAATTTGAGAATTTTCCTCATTATTATTTTCGTTGGGCCCATGGCGCTCGGCGCCCTGCTCTGGGTATTTCAATATTTTTGCCAATTTATTTGCCCTCCTCCATCCCAGCGCTGCTCATCAGAGTTGAGTTTCTGTGCCTGTTCGTCTGCCTTTTGATTTTTTATTATTATTTACGCGATTTTGCACGCGGCGTGTGTATGCAAATAAACGAAAAACTGCAGGAAACAAAACACGGAAGTTGCCCAGGAAGGAAGCCAGGAAGGAAGGAAGCCAGGCAGCGCCACAGCCAAACGTCGTCTGGAAAATGGGAACTTCGGTGGATTGTGGTTCGCGCGTGGGTTCTCCAGAACCAAAAAAAAAAATGAAACAAAAAATAACCCACTGGGTTCTCCGTGGCATAGGAGTCTCCGATTTCGCGTTCCGGGCTTTTTGGGCTCTTTGGGCCCTCTGTCTGTCGAGGGCTGGCTGGCAAAAGGCAAATTTAAATTGAAATTTTCCACAGTTGATGTGCTGAAATAACAAACGTGAGCAGCCAGCGAACACACCTTTGCAAATGCAGGAGGCGGAGAGGAGGCACACGGGTCGTATGTGTGATGTGGCGGTCTTTTAGCGTCGGCAAGTTGAGCTACTCTAGTCGAGCAAATCGTAGGGGTGCTGAGCTATATATATAGCTGAGCTATAGCTTACAGAGAAAACTCACTTAAGCAAAAAAACATAAAATTAATTAAGAAACTCTAATTAGGAGCAACATTTGAGATTATGTGCGTTGAGGTAGCAATTGAAAATTCGAATACCCATTGTAATGCGACCCAAGTATAGTATAGTAACTGTTACTTCAAATGCATGATGCCAACTCAACAAGACCTTTCACCTTATGCACTTGCAGCTACAGCAGCAACAACAGCCTGCAGCCAGCACCTGGCCAGGTGGTCAGTGTGGTGCCGAAAAACGACAAGCATGCAATCCTGCAGAGCATCGCCAGCAGCTATCGGCGTGCCGCGGATGCCAGCGATTCGAATGCCTCCAAGCCGACACCATTCGCGGCCGGTGGTGGTGGCAAGGCCCAAGGTGGTGCGGTGGGTGGTGCTGCCACCCGCAGGCGGAGCTCCGCGCAGCGCCGTCGTGATTGCCGCGTGAGCCACTGGTCCGAGTGGACGGCCTGCAGCAAAAGCTGCGGCGTCGGCGAGATGCATCGCTACCGCAAGGTCATAAAGCACGGCAAAAGGGGCGGACGACAGTGCCCGGCGCTCCAGCAGTCCAAGTGGTGCGGCACCGAGCGCAACTGTCACGGGTCGCAGTCCTATTTTAATTGGTGAGTATGCCCCGCCGCGGAAGCTCAATCAAATTAGGCTTGCACTGAAACAATTTCAGGGCACTTATATTCATCAAATTGGATTTGAATTCAATTGCACACTTATGCATAGTTTTCTTGAAAATATATGCACAAATATTTCATTAGGCCATATCGTTACATTTTTATTTTATTTTATTTATAAATAAAAAATAAATAACACAAAAAATCCGTAATAGTTTGTTTACTGACTCACCCTGCAAGTATTTGCAAACAGAATATACATGTCCGGTTCGATTTCAGGTCCGATTCCGACACATGAACGAGCCACTTGGAGGAGGCACAGGCGATATAAATATAATTTTAATTTAAGGCGTAAGAATTGCTTTTTCTGTGTGAACAAGAAAGACCAGCCAGGCCGTAAGGAGTGTGGATCATCCCGCAAGGAGATTTAATTTAACTTTACATTATCAAATGACATTGATTTTAAAGCGGACGGCAGAGACTTCAATTAAAAATGGATTAAATTAGAGGCGACGATGGGGAAGACTACTGACAATATTAAAAGCACATGAAAAATGTAGACACAGGACAAGGACGATTGGAGTCATTCGTCCTGCGGATGTCGATTCAAACATTCTTCTGTTTATGTGTTCACATTGATTTCAATTTTATTTTTCGTTGCTTTAGCTCTAAATAATATGTAAAAAAATCATCATAAAATATAAAAAATTAAACAAAAAAACCAAAAAAAACATTGAACAGTAGAGGTACAAAGTTTAGAAAGCAAATCAAAGTAAACAACAAGCGTGAAAATTTGCATACCCAAACAAGGAAAAATGGAAACAAAACCAAATGAAAAACCAAACACAACACACTTGAACCTATAAGCGTGGCGCCAAAGTGTGTTGTTCAGCAACTAAGCTAATATTAGATGTAAACTAAGCTAACTAATAACTTTAAATGGATTGCAATAAAAGTCAACCCCGAAAAGAATTCACCCGATTTCGAATTATATTGAAAAGAAATCTTTAATATGTTCACTCTTTTTTAAGGAAAGGTAAATGCTTAGCAATGGAATCGATTTTGCTATATAAAAATCCTTCCCAACCGAAAGCTGTGTATTATACAAAATTTATTCAGAATTTGGAACAAGGACTTAACCAAAACATAACCAGTAAAAAAGTCAGTAATACTTATTTAGAAGAGTCCAAGCTATATTGTAAGATAAATCCCAAGTTCCACGCAGGGCAACCAATTATCACTGGGCCTTCCTGTTGCGAAACTTGATAAGTCCGGGCAGCATGAGCTTCAGAATTCCGGAGATAATGAGGCACAATCCCGCAAAGCAAAAGGCAGCGGAATAGTTGCCCGTACTGCCCACCATTTTGCCGGCAATCGTGGTACCAATAAAAGCACCCATTCCCATGGCCAAAGAGGTAATCCCAAAGGCGTTGGTCAGCTTGGAAAGTCCCAGGTATTTCACGTATATGAGACCTCTCAGTGTGGAAAAAACGGCTATGATGCGGAAATGAAAGTAGGCAATATTGCGGAAAATTGCTGGTGCAAGATGAAAACTTTTAGGTAAGGTAGGTAGTGTACACACCTGGCGCTACAGCATAGGATATGCCGTACAGAAACTGGAACCAAATCAAGTTCTGTCCGTAGAAAGCGCTTATGAAGACGGAAAACCCACCGAAAACCAGACCGCAGCCACAAAGTCCGAGGGTCCAAGTACGCCTTTTGTAGGCGAGGAAGCCAAGGATGTTCCGCAGCACAAGGTTACTGATTCCGATAATGGGGCCGATCATACGGGCATATTTGACGGGAATCGTGGTTCGTGCAGACGAGTAAACGAAGGGTATATTGAAGCCCATCGGGTACAGAAAGGCGGAGGCCACCAGGATCTGAAACTCGAACTGTTTCAGCAGATGGTAGTCGAATAGTTTGAGCAGAGTGAGCATAAACCGGCTGTTCCCACAGGCATTTGGCTTTTTCGGAACTTCATTAGACCATCTGGCTTCATTGTGGTTGCCTTTAGGCTCTCTGGAAGTGCCATCCCCTTCATCACCCAAATTAATGTTCTTGATGCCATACTTCACTTGCTGGGTCTGAGTAGTAGTTGGTGGTGTTCCTAAGTCGAAAGGAATCTGTAGAACGTACAATACTTACGTTCTTGTCCGATCCCATCAGTTGGAATTCCTTGCCCTCGAGGTTCTCCTTGCTCTGCGGCTTCTCGTACTCGGCGGGACCCGTATAGAAGAGATCCTCCCGCTCCAAGGGCGCCGGCCGGATCAGCAGATTGAGCTCATCCTCGTTTTGGGGCTTCTTCCGCCGCTTCCCACAACAACAGTTCGTGCAGCATGGGCAGAACTTGGTGCACCAGTGCCTCTTAGGAGGTGGATCATATGCATTTAGGGCACTCCGGCTTTCACCGTTCTGCGTGGATAGACGTAAGTAGTCATGCACGTAGAAGTTGCCGTAATACTCATCCGAACTGGACTCCAAGTTATCGGGGAAGTGGTACAAGCCAACCTGCGTGGGAGCCACCTCCACGTAGGCGACCACCATCAGCAGGATCAACATAATCAGTCCCGCCTGCGTCCGCAGCATGTTCCTCCATCCGATGATTGGCACCAGCCAGCTGTTGAGGAACGTGAAGACCACTATACCCGCTCCGCCACCGCTGCAGGAAAACCCATTGGCCATCGGACGGTACCGCTCGAAGTAGTAGCCCACAATCAGCTGCGAGCTCGCCCAGATCATGCTCAAGGTAAAGCCACCTGCGCAGGCTGGTATTATTATTCATCGGATATCGGATATGGGACAGCCATCTAGCATCAACCTACCGAGGACGCTGTAAAAGAAGATCAGCATGGTCAAGCTCACGCTCCAGCTGGAGGCCAGTATTGTGGTTGCGGAGCACAGGACCCCGGCGATGGCTACCTTTCGGAACCCAAAGCGATTTATCAGAACGGCAGAGAAGGCACCGCTAGTGAAGTAGCAACCAATCTGGACACTGGCCACAAACGAAACCGACGATGTGGAGACACCCAGATCCTTGGCAATGGAGGGCAATAGGATTCCAATGGTAAAAATAAGGCCATCGATTATCAGCTGGGCGAGGAAGGACAGCACCATGATTACCCAGCCGAATCCGCCGTCCGGTGGTATCACCATATAGATCTGCGGATGACAAGTCATTTGTTTCTCAACTCACCACCGCAAGAAAGCTTTTCACTCACTTACAAAAACCATACCGGAGCCCAGTCGTTTGCCACCACGGCTCAGGTCATAGGACTCCTTCGAGACTCCACTATCTATGTCCCACGACTGGTTCATCCGAATATCCGCGTCGTACTCGCTGAAGGATCCCGTCGAATCGGTCAACTGTATTGTAGTTGTATTGAACGTGATAGCCGTATCCTTTTGATAGCTTTCCCTAGCGATAACATATGAATCCTCGGAATCGTATTTTGGTATTAAGGAAGCTCCTGCAAGAAGGCTAAGGTTTTAGTTAAAGGGAATGCAGGCTGAAAATGGTTTAAGTCCCATTCCAATTATAAATATAAAATCTTGCAAGCTAAGAAGGGCATCACTAGGATAACTTACTCTTTTTGTAAAACTTTTCCGTTTTGGTTATGAGTGGTTCTCCACGGTCATATTCGTCCGTATAGCTAGTGAAGCTCTGGACCGGAGACACCTCATCTTCGCTCACAGAAGATTCATCTTCATTATCCCTGTATGCAAAGGAAGACTGCCGAAGACTGGGAGCACGTGACCATCGATCCACTGGCGGTGTTTTGCTAGGTTCCACAAACGGCACCTCGGATATGGGCTCAATTGGAGTACGGCTTGAAGAAGCTGGCTTGCTGTCCGAAGTCTCGGGCTCCTTTGATGCCGCCACAAGGATATGGGGAAATCTTCTGAAAGGAAGCTTGGGAAGAAACGTAGGATTAAAACATTCGTAGAACGATGTCGAGCTCTACTTCACTCCACTGCGCCTGGCCAAGGGACAAGACAGAAGTGCTCCCATTCAGGATTTCCGTCCGATCTGTGCCGTTGGCCACACTAACCACTTGTGGTCGCGTGTTCCGCGTGTCATACTGATAGATGGATGAGGCTTGAACGGAGCACTCCAGCCTGGACAGAGACTGCGATCTCAAGCTACTTCCACTTGGCTGTGCAGCGGGGGTCTTGTCCTCATCTAGGCTGCTGGGTAAGTTGAAAAGCAGAGGGATTCGCTGGGGATGAGTGCCTTGGTGGGCGAGCAGACTCACTCACCTCCGCCTACGATTCCTACTCATTTTTCGATTCTGTCGCAGCGTGTTCCTGACATCTTTCACAAATCTCTCTGCGTCTCGACCCGAACCCAATGCACAGTGGCTGGCTACGTGTCTGGCTGCAATATGAGAAACGCCAGCAGCAAGTGGGGGATTCCTGGGGATTCATGGGGATTCGTGGGATTCGTGGGACTCGGAAACTGTCGCCAGACATTAGCTGCTCCTGGCTACCAAACGCTGCCATGGCTGCCATGGCTGCCATGGCTGCCAGGCGAGCGTGACAGACAGAGTTGGTAGTTGCTTGCTGGTGACCCCCAGTTGCTCCCCTCCACATTTGCTGCACTGCAACTGCTACTTTTTAGCCATCTCCTCCTTTCGCTACTTTCGCTCCTTTCGCCTGGCGAATCCCTATGGCCACAAACCGATCCCAGCTCCGTTCCACCCACTTGCCTGTTTATTTTGGGGCCGAAACAAAATTGCATCAGTGCAATTTCATTGATTGTAAGTAAATGAAATCATTCCTTAGTCGTCTGAGTTTTGCACAGAGAGACGGGCCAAAGTGCATCTCAGCTTTAGGGGCAGTAACTTCATTGGCAGTCACTCAAAGGCAACAAGAGATGAAGCATTGGGGTCGACTGTTTCCCCAGTTGATTAAATGGAAAGTGATGCTGAGCTATTGAATTGCAGAAAGTCGGGCAATGCTTTATGAAACCAGCCGCGCCCCTGGAAACTTTAACTAAGCCAGCGCTGCTCTCGCAAAATGAATTACAAACAAAATGCACTAATTAATTAGCGTAAAGGCCAGCTAACTTTTCGACCAGCCACTTGAGCTTCCCCTCCCTCCGCGAATTTTCTCCTGTTTTCCCGCGGGGGAGCAGCGATTGCAGCGTCTATTTTTCCTGGCCAACAACTCTATGCGGAAATTGTTTTTTTCCCCCAAAGGCTTCGCTCGTACGTGCTCGTTTTTTATGGCCCCCGTTGTGTTTCCTATTTTTTGTTTTTTCCCTGAGCGCCTTGAAATCGAAACGGCCAAAAGATTGCCCTGCCAAATTGTTAACAGCAATTGACCCAATTTTATGGGAGCCCTCATGCATGGCCACTCTCGGACGGCAGTGACTCCAATGAAAATAGCGGCGTAAAAGCGAAAACTGCCCCGAGAACAGCGGGCAGCGAACAGCGGCCAACGCGGCGTATACTTATTCTAGTGGACTTCTGTTGTTTGTTTTTTGTTTTTTCCTGAAAGGGGCCAGCTTTGTATGTATATTTTCGGTTTTTTTGCTGGGCTTTGTCGTTTGGCTGGCTGCGCACTGTTTGCATTTAACTTGCAAACAAGGGGGGGATAAAAATTCGCAAAGTGAAGGTTGCGTTGTCTATTTTTTCTTTATTGTTATTTGCCTGCAAATCAAGGCAGCTGGACATTGCAATTCGCTGGCATCGAATGCATTCGCAATTAACTCCAGAACAAACAAGGAAAATCCATTTGGGCCGTGGCCCGGAAAGGGCTCAATTCACGACAGCCTTCGAGAAATAATCTTGCACACTTGAATCTGGGAATCTGGGAATCCATAGGGAAGTAGTTGTTGAAATGTAAATGAAATAGAGCCCATCCAGGCGGCTTTGGATTAGGTTTCTTTCCAATCATTGGGTAAGCCCCATGGTGCTGGCCAGATCAAAGTAGAACCCTCACCTGTACAGACCTAAATTTCGTATCTCTCAACCTGCCACAGCACCGGTTCCAATCCAAACCTCCGTTCAGTTATGTTTCTGGCCAAAAGCTCCACACTACTTCGCCCGCTGCTCCTCAACGAGGTGAAGGGAGTAGTGAAATCCCAGTTCCAGGCATTGTCACAGGTCGACCGACGTTTTGCCCACTCGGACGATAGGTGCGCCAGCAAGAAAACCAGGAAATGCGAGCAGAGCCCACCAAAGGGTGTAGGATTGCCCCCAAGGAGACGACAACATTCTCACACGGATGGCGGGGATGATAAGTGCGCGAAAAAAGACGAGAAAAAGTGCGAGAAGTTTGTCTCCCATAACGCGAAAAAGCCGGAATGCAAGCCGCCCGTCGTCAGTACTCCCAAATTCTACCGGCAGCTAAATCCCTGCAAGACGGACAAGGAGCTCTCCGAGCTGCATCCCAAGTATCTGGGTGTGTGGGGTCGATGCGACATACCCTACAAGCCAGAGCCCGATTGCCTGGATCCCTGTGATCTGGCCGAGCGCCTGGATGACAAGTACTACAAGCCCAGCAAGTCCTTGGACCGCCAGTTCGACCAGTACTGGGTGGAGTGCTTCTTCCGGAAGCAGAAGCGCTGCTGCCGCAAGGTGGCGCCTGAGCGCACCTACCGCGTGATGGGCAAGAAGTGTATTGGCCCTCCCAAGAAGCCTTGTTTCACCGTGAATCCCATGCCCTGCCAACAGGAGGCCAGGCTCAACCCTTGTCCCAAGCTGACTCTCTGCCAGTGTCCGAAGGCAAGAGCCGATCCCAGCTGTAAGGTGGTGCGTAGGCATACAAGATGCCGGCGCCGCGCTTGCCAGTATCCCAGCTTCTCGGAGTGCCAGCACGAGGAGCTGAACACCGCCAGACCCATTGAGTGCCGCTGCCTGGAGGTGCCTCCCCTGTGCCTCGTCTACCGGCACGCTCTCCTAAACCGTCGACTTCCATGTGAGCCCCTAAAGCCGCGCGACGAGTCGTGCTAAAGGAGGCAGACCTTGGATTGGGGACCCACTCATGGTGCTCAACTGTATGCAGATAAATTAATAGTGCTAATAAAAGATACGAAATTTTTGGTGGAATAAACATAATCACATTAGAAGATTGTACTTGGTTTATTGGGGCGGGCTGATCGAAATCAAAATAGGCCGCCGTTAGGTGGCGCCCAAGTGCACTCGCATACAGGCTTGCTCTTCCTTCCCTGGGAGTGCGAGTAACAGGTATCTGATAGTCGAACACTCATTTTCATTTTTTTACTGTACCTTATACTGCAGATCATAGGATGCTAAATTTGTAATATACCGCCAGGTAGGCCTTGGGACGAAACGTCAAGTGTGCTAGCCACGTTCAGCTTGGCTTTGAATCATTCGTACACAGTTGTTCGAGTGGTAAACACGTCTAACACCTTTGCCTCCAAAAATCCAGCCTTCCGTTTTGGTTTCCGTTCAAAATTCCAGTTAAATTCAGTTAGCATGGGGGTGTTGCAGGCCGTCCAACGAACGCTCTTGATGCAGCACAATTTGGGATCGCTGACCATCAAGCGGACCTACGACACAGTGAAGAAGATGAACCTGCGTCGCAGACGCTTGGAGCACCTGAAGGAACTCAAGCGGCTGGACCGAATGTGCTACAAGGCGGCCAGTCGCAACGACAAGAAATGCCACCCGCCGGTCATGCCGCTGCCCACGCTAGAGTGCCTAGACGACCCATGTGCAGAATCGGAGATGCCATTGGATCTGGACCACTATACACCGAGCGACAAGGCCGCGCGGAAGTATCAGCGCACCTGGTGCGAGTGCTATATGATACCCAAGGCGGCTGTCCAGGCAAGGAAGTGCTATCCGAATAGACCGCGACGGAAGTTCGAGTGTCCAAGGGTCTCCGATGTCGAGTGCCGCTGGGATCCCATGCCCTGTGATGACGTGAAGAAAAAGCCCGAGATACTGATAGAAGTGCCGCGTATCGGAAAGTGGCCCTGCTGCAAGATCCCCTCGCCCGGATGCGCCGATGGCCGGATACCGCCCTCCTGCGACGCTGGTCGCATTCCCACCTGCTGCAAGAAGCGGCGCACCAAGTATCCCAGCTTCTCGGAATGCAAAAAGGATCTGCTCGAGGCCATTCCACCTTGCGAGTGCGAGAAGAAGGTCAACATGTGCGATGTATATGCATATTTCCGCCATAAGACAACCTAGCTTCGCGCCATGAAAGAGCTTGGAAATCAAGGCGGTTCGGGAACCCCACCTGGATGAGGAAGAAGCCCCCAATAAGCAATGAAAGTATGCGTAAAGTGGCTCGCATGTATTACCGTTCATTAATTGTCTATGGGTTCGTTTCCAAAAAGCTGACCCCTCTAGCATTGCCGCCTTTTACCTATCCGGATATCCCATTCTCCCATTGGATGCCATTTTAAAAGGTGACAAATTCAAAAACCCTATTTCAATTACAGCATTGATGTGTGTTACTACTGCCATTAAAGTGATCAACTTAATTTCACAAATCAACTAATCTGACGCGATTTCTATCTTCTTCTTGAGCCTGCCTTGGGGTCGCATTGAGCGCGACTTTCCGGCATCCTGGATGGTTAATTCTTGGCAGACAGCAATGTCCTTCTGCTCTACCCCACCCTCCATGCGCAGCTCTTTAGTTGGAGTGCACTCCTGTGCAATTCCTAAAAGGGATTTGCATGCCGCTGAGATGTTTATCGCAAATTGTTGCCGTCGTCTGCATCGTGGAGGATGTTGTGACGATGTCGTCTGGCGGCGCACAAATGTCAACAGCACAAAGCTCTGACGTTTACATTGAAAGTCACTTTGGGCGCCAGGCAGCCAAACAGACAAACAGTGGGATCCTGGGATCCTGGCATCGTGGTATCCTGGTATCCGTGGAGGGGGGCGAACGAGGGCGATGGCTAATGAAAAGTGCCAACAAAATCCAATGCATTTTTATTTAAATGCAAATGTTTAGCCTGCCGGCAAGTGTTTAATTGTGGAGCCCGGCCATTGACAAGGCGGGATCCTGAAAAGTCCTGGAAATGAGGATTCGCCACACACTCATCGTTCATGTTCGTTCGCCTGTTGTTTTGGCCAAAGTATGCCCTCGAGTGACATTTCGTGCAAATGAAATGTATGGCTGTAAAGTTGTCTATTTCTGTGCCCAGGCAAATAATTTTATTATAAAAGTTGTTTCTGCCTTTTATTTTTTTGGGAACTTGTGGCTTTCCGTGAGTAATAGACACCATGTTTCTGTGGTTATTTTCGTAGGAGTAAATTCGCATGTAAGGAAAGTAAAGTGAGATATATGTCAAGCAGAGTTGTGGTGAATGTGTGAAGAGAAGCGTACTGAATGGAATGTGTGGTATCCTAGCTAGCTTTAAATGACTTTAATAATTCCAATTTAAATACTGCCTGTATTGAAAGTCCCTACCCTTCTAGTTTACTTATAAGTGGGAAATATATTTTTGCTACAAAAGAATTGAACCGATTACTCGCCATTTCTGCCATGTTTTCCCGCTGGTCGAATGGGCTTTATGGAGCCCACTAGTCACGGAGATTATGATAAGGCTTTACGACTTGGGATGTCCAGTAGCTGGCTGGATTAAAAGCTTTTTGCGGTTTTGATATGGGAAGCCGGGAAATGGGGGCCCTAGGCAGGGTAAACAAACAAATTTAGTTATGACCAACAAAGTTGCGAGGCCCCTTTGGCTTACAGCTCGGCCAATTAGCTGGACGACGATGCTGACCTTAATTACACGTGCACTTTTAGTGCAACCAGTGTGCAGTCCCCCAACCCATTTTGCCCACATTTGTTGCAGCTTAGCCCATAATCTGGACCCACATATATATACCGCATATAGTCAACAAACATGTGTAGCTGCACCCCCATAACCATAAATGTAAAATGCCACGGGTTGCCATTGCATTCCATTTTTGTTTCAGCATATTTTTTCGCTTTTTTGTGTTTTACTCAGCTGGCTACACTTTACACACTTTGTTGGCTCCGTGTCCGGGTCTAAATGTTGCTGCCGGATTGTTAATATTATTTTATAATTTCGTTTTATTACTCCTACTCCGCCGTAGAGCGTTGTAAACATGTTGTCGTGAATGGACGCGGATTCTGTGCCCCGGGATTCCCCGCTGCCATTCGGGTAGTCAAAGTGCGCCATTAAACGTTAAGCAGGCAATGAGGGTGGAGTCTTAAATGCCGAGCGGGGATTTTGGGGGTCAGAGGTGAAGACATTTAACCCGACCCACTAGCACAGCATAGAAACTATGAAAAAGCAAGCTTTGATCGCTTTATGTTTCTCTCTGCCTTCAACTCGTATTTCATTGTAAATCGATTGAGCGTAGAAATCCTTTGCCTTCGGAAAAAATCAAAACTCAAAGTTGGCCAAAGGTAAAAGTGGTTAGCCTATTACAGTTTATGGATGTGCACTAACATAGCACTTTACGATTTTTGTTACCTTTGCTTTCACACACACTTGATCAATTTATATTCCTGGCTTTGTTATTTTCTGCAATAAGCTCGTGTGGCTTTGGTATCAGGGCTTACTGATGTGAAAACCTGTAAAAGCCATAAGCCTTCATAACCTTTTATTTTTGCATTTGCTGAGCTGTTTTCCATTGTTCTTGGAACTACAAATCTTGCTCGGTCTTGCATAAGTTCTTGTTAAAAATAGGATTCCATCTAACTTACTCCCTTTGTTTATCACAATTTAACTATAATCCGAAAAACATGCTTTTTTAGGTAAAAGAAATTAAGTTGACTCTGACTTTTCCTTTGCTTCCATTTCCCAGAAAAAATAAATAAAATTGCTGCCTACTTTGCGGCGGAGCTGTAAATTTCGCCTTTCATCAATCGCCTTCTGCGCGACATATTTTTATTGACATTTATTGAAGGCGCAATTCTATTGACATAATTCAAATAGGCAACAACGTGCCACGCAATTCGAACGCGACAAAAATGTAAATTGCCTGACAGTGCGAGGACGAGCGAGAGGGGAGATTACGTGCCGAGCGAGAAGACAAATCAATTTGAAGCAACACAATTTGAGGAGCGGGAGTACGTAGGAGTCGAAATGATAATGAAGGCACCACATTTTGTCGCCATTGTGCGAGTGACAATGGGCCACAGATAAAAATGACAGCCACAAGCTGGCAACTAAGTCGGGATGAGATCTCCTGGGGGACTATTGTCTCAGGAGCCAAAACGTTGGCCGCAGTATGCGGATTCCCGGAATGGGTAATGCACACATTGTGATTGTGGCAAAGAGTTTAAGCAGCTGTTGGCTGGCCGGCGTCTAACTGTCAGACTGCGGCTTATCGCCAGCGTTTTGACAATTTTCCGACTGTCCAGTTGCCTCTTTTTATGCCCGTTACTCGTAGAGTAAAAGGGTATACTAGATTCGCTGAAAGTATGTAACAGGCAGAGGGAAACGTTTCCAACCATATAAATTATATATATTCTTGATCAGGATCAATAGCCGAGTCGATCTGGCCATGGCCGTCTGTCCGTATGAACGCCTCGATCTCAGGAACTACAAAAGCTAGAATGTTGAGACTAAGCATGCGGCTTCCAGAGACACAGACGCAGCGCAACTTATCCTAATCGGATTTTGAAGTGACATATCTCTAAATGTTTCTGGCGCAATTCTCTAAAAATCTGCATTCAAATTTAAAAATTTATTTTTTTTTAAGATTTTTTCAATTTTTCTGATGTGTAATATTGTAGAAATCCAAAAAAGTTAAAAAATGTCCCAAGGCTGAAGTTCTAAACTCCATAACTCAACGTACCTTAATCGGATTTTGAAGTGGCATACCTCTAAATGTTTCTGGCGCAATTCTCTAAAAATCTGCATTCAAATTTAAAAATTTATTTTTTTTTAATTTTTTTTCAATTTTTTCTGATGTATAATGTTGAAATCCAAAAAAATTAAAAAATGTCCCAAGGCTGAAGTTCTGAACTCCATAACTCAACGTACCTTAATCGGATTTTGATGTGGCATACCTCTAAATGTTTCTGGAGCAATTCCCTAAAAATCTGCATTCAAAATTAGAAATTTATTTTTTTTTAAGATTTTTTCAATTTTTCTGATGTGTAATGTTGGAGAAATCCAAAAAAGTTAAAAAATGTCCCAAGGCTGAAGTTCTAAACTCCATAACTCAATGTATCTTAATCGGATTTTGAAGTGGCATACCTCTAAATGTTTCTGGAGCAATTCCCTAAAAATTTGCATTCAAAATTAGAAATTTATTTTTTTTTAATTTTTTTTCAATTTTTCTGATGTGTAATGTTGTAGGAATCCAAAAAAAATTAAAAAATGTCCTAAGGCTGAAGTTCTAAACTCCATAACTCAACTTATCCTAATCGGATTTTAAAGTGGCATACCTCTAAATGTTTCTGGAGCAATTCTCTAAAAATCTGCATTCAAATTTAAAAATTTATTTTTTTTTAAGATTTTTTAAATTTTTCTGATGTGTAATGTTGTAGAAAAGTTAAAAATTGTCCTAAGGCTGAAGTTCTAAACTCCATAACTAAACGTATCTTAATCGGATTTTGATGTGGCATACCTCTAAATGTTTCTGGAGCAATTCTCTAAAAATCTGCATTCAAATTTAAAAATTTATTTTTTTTTAAGATTTTTTCAATTTTTCTGATGTATAATGTAGAAATCCAAAAAAATAAAAAAATGTCCCAAGGCTGAAGTTCTAAACTCCATAACTCAACGTATCTTAATCGGATTTTGATGTGGCATACCTCTAAATGTTTCTGGAACAATTCCCTAAAAATCTGCATTCAAAATTAGAAATTTTTTTTTTTTTTTAATTTTTTTCAATTTTTCTGATGTGTAATGTTGTAGAAATCCAACAAAATTAAAAAATGTCCTAAGGCTGAAGTTCTAAACTCCATAACTCAACGTATCTTAATCGGATTTTGAAGTGGCATACCTCTAAGTGTTTCTGGAGCAGTTCTCTAAAAATCTGCATTCAAATTTAAAAATTTATTTTTTTTTAAGATTTTTTCAATTTTTCTGATGTGTAATATTGTAGAAATCCAAAAAAGTTAAAAAATGTCCCAAGGCTGAAGTTCTAAACTCCATAACTCAACGTATCTTAATCGGATTTTGATGTGGCATACCTCTAAATGTTTCTGGAGCAATTCCCTAAAAAACTGCATTCAAAATTAGAAATTTATTTTTTTTTAAGATTTTTTCAATTTTTCTGATGTGTAATGTTGGAGAAATCCAAAAAAGTTAAAAAATGTCCCAAGGCTGAAGTTCTAAACTCCATAACTCAATGTATCTTAATCGGATTTTGAAGTGGCATACCTCTAAATGTTTCTGGTGCAATTCTCTAAAAATCTGCATTCAAATTTAAAAATTTATTTTTTTTTAATTTTTTTTCAATTTTTTTGATGTATAATGTAGAAATCCAAAAAAATTAAAAAATGTCCCAAGGCTGAAGTTCTAAACTCCATAACTCAACGTATCTTAATCGGATTTTGATGTG